ACTTTCCCTCATTTTCAATTTCTGTTATAATTTGTGATTGCTTTTTCTGCCATGTTTTCCTAGCCAGCCATCTGCCAGGTTTATTGGCATGTTGGAAGTTTCTTTGTTTCATAAATTTAAGTTGGTTGGCTAGTTGGTCTGTTTCTAATTTTTCTTTTTGGGAGTACCAGACTTTGAGATCTTGTTTCAATGTCTTATCTAGTGGATTTCGTTTAAGTTCGTCTTCAATTCGGGAGATTTGGTAGATCACATTGTCCATTCTTTGTTTTTTCAATTTTATTTTAATTGAGTTTTGCTTGATGAAATGTCCTCGCATCACCGCCTTACTGGCGTCCCAGACAGTGTGCAAGGGTGTTTCTTTGGAGACATTTAGTTCGAAGTATTCCCTTAGGAGATCTTTATTTTTTTTAATATCTTCCTCCGATCTAAGGAGGTTGTCCTTTAGTCTCCATCTAAATGTCTTTTTTGTCTCCATTAGAGAGAACTCAATTGGGCAATGGTCAGATATGGATCTTGGGAGGATTTTTATATTGGCATTCTTTGTAAGGATTGAATGGGACACCCAAACCATATCAATCCTGGACCAGGATTGGTGGCGGTCTGATAGGAAYGTATAGTCTTTATCTTTAGGATGTGTCGTTCTCCACAGATCTTTTAACTTAAATTCTTCCTGCAAGRTTAAAAATGTTTTAGGAAGTTGGTTTGCCTTGGGATCTAATTTTTTACCTGGCGTCAATTTATCTAATTTAGCGTCTAATACCCCATTAAAGTCTCCGGCTATGATTAAATTATCAAAGGTTTGGTTGGAAAGATTTTCCCTTAATTCTTTGACAAATTTCGTCTTCGGGCCGTTGGGGGCGTATATGTTGCAGAAGAGTAGCTTCTGACCGTTTTGGTTAATGTTAATGCCTATCATTCTGCCTTCTTGATCTTTAAAGGCCAGATTTGTCGCTAGCTTTGAGTTTGCATAGATTACTACTCCTCTTTTTTTTTCATCTGCTGATGCGATGTATTCCTTACCTAAAATTTTTTGTACTAAATTGGAGGATTGTCTGTTGTTTATGTGTGTTTCTTGGATAGCAATTAGATCATACTTGCCTTGTTTTAATTGGTTGACCATCTTCCTTCTTTTCCCTGGCGAATTTAAACCGTTAATATTATTACTCCAGACTTTTAATTGCATAAGAATATTTTATTGTGTGTTTATATCGGGTGCGTCTAAGTCCATTTTAGGAGAGTTCAGGGTCGTCGTTTCGGTGAGAGAGGTCGGAGAGAGGAGTCTTGCCCTCTTGCTCTCCCTACTGTCATGGTCATCAGGGGATCTATCTCTTTCCAGGTCTTTCAGCATTTTTTTGTGAAACTCTTTCGCTTTTTCTTCAGATGTTATCCAAAATTTCTCCTCTTTGTACGTAATCATCATTCCTTCAATTTTCTCCCACCTAAAGCGGGTTTGGTGTTTTTTTAGGAACTCTGCTAGAAACATGTATTTCTTTCTTCTGTTAAGGATACTTGGGGGGTGTTCCTTCAAGATAGAGATTTTCTTCTCCTTATAGTATTGTGGCTTCTTGTTGTTTTCTCTTAGTATTTGTTCTCTGAAGTTTCTTTTTGTGAAGTGGACTATAACATCCCGGGCTACTTTGTTTCTTTTTGCATAGTTCGTCATTATCCTATATGATTTTTCTATATTTTCTGATACTTCGTCCTCTGGGCGTTCCAATATATCTGCTGTTAATTTACATATTATTTTGTTGATATTTTCGTTAGATTCCTCTTCGATGTTTCTAAATCTGAGCTGGTATTCCATCTCTTTTATCTCTAGCTTTTCTTGTCTGACTTCTAGTTTACTGCTCATATTTTCCAGTTTGTCCAATCTTGCCTTCAGATTATCTTGTACTTGTTCAATTTTCTTTTTATCCATTTTGATTTCATTTACGTCTTGCTGGAGCGTATGCAACTTTTCTTTCATGCCACTTATTTCCCCTATAAGTTCTCCTTTCATTTCTAGCATTTTTTCCTGAAAGGCCTTTTGCGCTTCCTGTGATGCTTTTTGGTTTTCTGCAAGTTTTAATAATTCCCTCAGTATGTCCTTTGAGCTTGGGTTTTCAGGTAGGGATTGTTTTCTTTGTTGTATTTTTGGCTCCTCTTTGTCTTTGTCCGTTTTAGCTTTTGGCGTAGTCATTTTTTTTTTTTTCTTTTTTCCCCCCCCCTCTCCTCCTTTCCCCCCTGTTTTTCCTCTATTTCCTCCCTCTTCCTTTTCTTTCTTATCTCTTCTGGGTTGGGTAGGCGGGCCAGAGATAGTAGTGTTGATATTTATAATCAAGGTGACCTATATGGCTCGTTAGGTTTATTGTATTATTTATTGAGAATGCTGCATGTGGGTTTGGTTTGCTAATATATCCTAGAAGTACTCGGTTTAGTCCTGGGATCTTTGCCTTCTAGTTCTGTCTTTT